GAGGAAGATGGGCACGGATGTTAGCCCAGGGCCAATCTTCCTCAGCAAAAAGAGGAGAATTGGCAACAGATATTAGCTCAGGGCTAATCTTCCTCATCCAAAAAAAAAGTAGATCAAATAAAGATAATTCTTATTTAGAAAATATAATCTGTAGTAAAGACATGATAATGAATCTTAAGATATAGCAGACATACATATAAATGAAAATCTTGAGGAAATATAAGAAAAAACTGAATGAAATTATAATTTTGGCAGGAGATTTTAAACATTACTTTGTATGCATTAGACAAAGTGGGCAGAAGATAGACTTGGATTTGATAGAATATTAAGGTAGAATTAATAATGTATATTAGAAATTGGCATCAGAGTTCTCTGTCCTTTCAAGTAATTGTGTTACTCTTATAAATTTGATCACATTTTAAGTCATAACTGAAAATTCAGAATTCAAAAGCAGGCATTTCACATGCCTCATGAGCTAATCCCTATCTGTGAAAGTAAAAATTAATAACTAGCACCAAACACCTGGAAATTAAAGAACACTCTTCAGAATATCCATTCAGCCAAGATGGATATTACTGCAATAATAGACAGCTATATTTAGAAAATAACAAAAATGAGAAAATTACATAGTAAAACCTTAAGGGTGCAGCTGTATTTAGAGATAAATTTATACTCTTAAAGGTTGTTAGTAAAATTGAAAATAAGGGTCAGCAAACTGAACACGTCAGATGGTAGTAGTTCTTGTTTGGGTCAAGATTCTATATGAATGTTACTATTTTTTCCTCTAACTTTATTTTTTCTGATTTTAAAAAATAACCTCATGTTAACTTTGTAATAAAAAAAAAAACCTAAATTTAAATTTCCTTGGAGAAAAAGGCCATGAAATGCAATAAAGTTGTATTTTCTGCTTTGAAATGTATACAATCTTAGCATTCTTCTAAAACCTGTTGGATTTTGTTTTAGTAAACTTGCTAATAATTTTTCTTTTATGAAAAGATTTGTGACTTTGGGATTTATTCTTTTTCTCTCTCTTTTTAAATTCAGTACAAAATTAAGACTATCCAGGATTTGGTGAGCTTAAAAGAATCAGATCGTCACAATCTGCTGCACTTCCTTGAAGATGAGAAATATGAAGAGGTTATGGCTGTCCTTGGGAGTTTCCCGTATGTGACTATGGACATAAAGTCACAGGGTAAGTGGGAGGTTTCCCTGTTGAACATTGCTTCCCTTTTAATAGATTGGCTCTTGCTTATTTGGCTCGAAGTTCTCAAAACACTCCATTTAATAACATAACTTGTAATTAGACTTTGCAGAACTGTAGTTTTATCTGTTAGATTGGCTATGATGGGAAATGATCTATATTTAATAGTTTTGAGAACACTGATAGAGTCCTAATTTATTATTCTCATAATGGGATTGAGTTTGAGGACTCTTGTAGTTCATCTTTCAGGAATATCTTAACTTTTTAAAGAATGAAAGAGATTTCCAGATGTAATGAAAGATATTTGAAATCTATTGTTAGTGTGAAAAAAATAGCTGCTTAGTTCTAAAATTAATTTTTAAAAACCCGACTCATTTATGTTAACCATGTTCTGTGCCACATTTCATGTGTTTTTGCTTGACTTACCTCTTATCTTTAATGTCTTTTTGGAATGAAAAAATCGAGGTTATTTTTCTAATAGCTGAGTAATAGTATCTTAGAATGGTGACAGAATTAAAGATTATCTGCTCCATTCCTTCATTGTGACATTGTTCTGAGCTTGCACATTTACTCAGTTACTGTTGTGAGAACATCTTGTGGGACCAAGAATACAAGGATGCGTTAAGAATGGTTTCTGTCTTTAAAGGGCTTATAGTCTAGTTGAGGAAAAAGGAACATCGAATTAAAAACAAGAAAACATAGGCCACGTGTTAAGTGAATGACACAGACATTGTGCCATTTATTCATTCAACAAATACTGACTGCCACTCATTCTTCTGGGTACTGGGGAGTCTTCTGGTGAGTAAGACAAAGCCCCTGCCATATTGAGTTTGCATTCTTTTTTTTTAAATTGAGATGCTAGACATCTCTTGATGTATTTTATGTTATTTTATTTTATTTTTTATATATATGCTTTTTTTGTGAGGAAGATCAGCCCTCAGCTAACATCCGTGCTAATCCTCTTTTTGCTGAGGAAGACCAGCTCTGAGCTAACATTCATTGCCAATCCTCCTCCTTTTTTTTTTTTTCCCCTCAAAGCCCCCCAGTAGATAGTTGTACGTCATAGTTGCACATCCTTCTAGTTGCTGTATGTGGGACATGGTTTCAGCATGGCCGGAGAAGCGGTATGTTGGTGCGCACCCGGAATCCGAACCTGGGCCGCCAGTAGCGGAGCTCGCACACTTAACCGCCAGGCCACGGGGCCGGCCCCTGAGTTTGCGTTCTAATTGGAATTGAGACGAGATACTTGGCTCCCAAAGACCGGGGGTGTTTGAGAAAGGAAGGTAGACTACAATCTAGTTTCAGTTGTGCTGGAGTGTAGAATACATGTAAAACTGGGATTGCTTTGGTGTGGAGTTGGGATTTCCTTGAGGGTCTGTCAGTTTTCGAACATTAAAAACACTAATTTAAAAGTTTCATTGAGGACCATACTAATTTAATCCAGAAACTATTCAAATAAAAATCTTGTGTGAGCCTTAGAGATACTCTTCGATATAATCAAGGGTTGTAAAAAGTACATGCTGCTTAGAAAAATGAATGTCAGAGATTTTCTTATTAGAAGTAAGGTAAGTATATTCAGTCTCACTGGGAAATAAAATTATGATATGTTGCATTCCATAGCATCTTGTATAGACAGTTTGTTATTTTATATTTTTACAGTGTTATCCAAATGTGTGGTATGAGTAGTATAGTTAATGGAGGGAGAGTAAAAGAATTATAGAAGCAGAAAAGGGGCATCTGCGTGATCCAGTGCTGGAGATGGTGGATCTCTTTCCCCACATTGTTAGAGGCTGTACAGAATCTCCTATAGGCTTTTTCTTCACTTTAAGGGGTCAAATGGCAGGTAGACATTGTTATAGCTGTTAATTCACGTGCAGTGCTCACATACATACAGCTTTGCAGTGTTGATGACTATGTAGCCCAGATTTGATTTGAGATAATGGAGACTTCGAAGTTGAAGAAAGAATATTGTACCCTTTCTTGATGCCCAGCTGTTACACCTCACAGCCAATAATGGAGGAGATAGCAGTTATAGGTTGTTGGAGGCCATAATTTTCCAACTGGTGGTATGTTAGTGCAGGCCAGAACAGTGTGGTAATCTAAATCTGTGTAAAATAAACATAACAAACTTAGAAAAACCTGTAGGCAGAAATACATAGTGAAGAAAACTCTTACAGATAACATGTGTAGGAAAAAATGAATTATATCTACATTTGAATAGGATATATGTTTCATAAGTTAATTTTAATTTAATTTTAATGTTAAGGTTTTTTAATTAGACTTTTGGGGATGTGTGTGGCAAATGTAGTTTTAAAAAATTAAACAATTATGAAAACATTGCAAAAAATATTTTTTAAGGTGCTTTTTAATATAAACAATATTTTGAAGTTCTTGCCTTAAAAAAAATAAATCCTTTAATGTGGCTTAGAATACTAGTTTTAGTTATTTTATTCTGATTTTTTTCTGACAGGCAAGCATTGATCATACAGGTAAAATCTTGTAAATATAAGGTTTGCACAATTTAATAGAGTGACAGAACCTTATTTTTATATTACTATGAGGGAAAGCTGTGATATGGTTGTCTTCACATACTCGTCTTAAAAGTCATAGGTTTGAAACTTGGCAGTGCCGGTATAGCCATTATGTGACCTTGGGTATTTTACTTTATTTCTGAACCTCACTTTCTTCTTTAAACTGGAAATAATAATAATGCTTTATAGAGAGCTATTTTAAGGATTATACGTGTACGTTGTTGAAGGCGTATACTGGAGAGCCTTATACAGAGTAGACAGTCAATAATTATTATTTTTTATTGAGTAAGTTTAAAATATAGTATGTTTGAAATACTGAAGTACCAGATTGATTTGAGTAATTTTGCTGTTTGTGTTGACATAGAGCTTGATTTTTATTTTTTACTTTATTTTTTTCCTTTCATTTTATAGTATTGGATGATGAAGATAGCAACAACATCACAGTAGGATCCCTAGTTACAGTGTTGGTTAAATTGACAAGGCAAACAATGGCAGTAAGTAATCTATTTTTATTCTTATGCTTTAAGAGGTATGTGTTAAGGTTTTTATATTTATTTTCTAATTTTAAGTCATATATTCTCAAAGTCAAAACTTGTATAGCAAAATCTAATTATGCAAGTTCTGTTAGCTGTTGTGAAATTTTAAATTAATTTTCATACTTTTTCGCATTAGTTTTCACACACACACACAAACTTAGAAAGTAGAGTAATTCTTCATGTGATGATTTGTTAATTCCCTATGAAGCATAATAAGGTGATGTGGGTAATAGTTCTTAAACTGTAAAGTGCTATACAGAGGTTAATTATTGATTATTGTTGAGAATTTCATCACCTACTCCTTTTTAGTCAATTCTTTAGAGAATTCACCTCCTTTTATTTTTTATTTAAAAAATTTAAAAATTACAATGAAAATAACTATTTCCTAATTATGTGAAAAATTCATGTTGTCTGGGAAAAAATTCAGTCAATGCAGAAAAGTATAGGAAGAAATTAAAATTACCTAAAATCCTACCACTCTGAGATTATCAGTTTTGAAGCTTATCCCTTTAGATATCCTAATGCATGAATACCTGTAGAGTTAAATGATGTTTTTGCTTGGATCCCTTCTCTCACCCACCTCTCTCAGGAAACCCCTTGTCAGCCCTAGATGATCAGAATTCAGTCTTATGTATATCCTTTCATATCTTTCTCCACGCTCATATTTACTGTCTCGACCTTTATAGTATGTATACGTATATGCATATACATCTATACTGGCACTTTTCTCATTCTTTTTCATTAAATCTGATCATATGGTATGTTTCCTGCATCTTGTTTTTCTCAGTTTCTGTTACATAGTTATATTGCCTCTCAAGTCAGCTGTCCCTCCCAAGCTACAACTATAGTTGTAGCTCATTGTTTTTAATAGACTGTATAGTATTTCAACTCAGTTTATTCCACTAGTGGTAGATTTTAGCCTATTCTACTCTGGGGTCTACAAGCATCTGCAGGAAACATATGCTGCATTTAAGCTCTATGTCTAAAACCTCTGGTAGGAAAAGCATATTTTGTAGTGGGATATATCAAATCACAGATTGATTTTATGGTAGCAAGTGGTAAGGAAACATTTGTGTCATGGACTCTGGTTGAGAGGTGGTTCCTGGGAGAAGAAGAAACTCTAAGCGAGTGGCCAGGATTAGGTTTAGAATCCAAATTTATACTACCTGTGTACTTTGGAATTCCAAGCTTGAGAAATGAGCAAAAAATTGGCCTTGGGCTGTTGACTTTTCTGAGGTAATTGGTAGAAGCAGAACTTCCTGGAGGAAGGGAAGAAATCAAGTATTTATCTTCCAATTCTTGTATGAACTGTACCTCGGAGTAATTGTTAGAACCCAGCTAGTAAATGAAGAAATGAAGCAAAGATGATAGACTGGGAGTCGGCAAACTTTTTCTATAAGGGTCCAGTTAGTAAATATTTTAGGTTTTACAGGCCATACAGTCTGTGCAACTGCTGAGCTCACAAATGGACATGATTGTGTTCCAATAAAACTTAGTTTAAAAAGCAGGCAATGGGCCATAGTTTGCTGGCCCCTGAATTAGGCTAATAGTTTAGAGCCTAACAGTTGTCATTGTTTTTACTTATTAGCTTTAATAAATCCGGGGAGTTTATTAAGCACATATTACTTGTTGTCATCTTGTAGTACAGATTCTTACTGGAATTTAAATCCTAAATTTATAGCTTCTGTACTGATTCTAATGGATTATATAGTGGGTGGATATGTCTTTAGGATATGTGGATTTTCTTGGTTCCACTTCTTAGTTAGAGGTCCAGTGAGGAATATCACTGACAATAATGAATAAACTAATATTGGTCTTGTGAATTTTTAATAATGTATTCAAATTCTCATAACATTAAAATAGTCATTTCTGTTTACTGTTAGAAAAAAAGTGAAAATTTAAACTATGAAATATTTTTGACTTTATAAGAAGTTTACATATCTTAGGTCATTGCATTTGTAAATTTAAGTAGACTGTACTTTTCAAAATATATTCAAGACAGATGTGAGATATTTCAGAAGGTTACTTCTGAAGTATCATTTAGTAATTGCTAAATTTGTACACATTCATCATTTGGTAATTGCTAGAAGTCTCTTGTTTCCTCCCCTCAATTGTCACCAGTTAAAAAACTTACTGGTGATATATTTTGAGAGATTGCTTTGTTTATCTGAAAGATACAGATTGATAGATTTTATGTTTTTCTTGCTATCTCTAGGAAGTATTTGAAAAGGAGCAGTCCATCTGTGCTGCAGAGGAACAGCCAGCAGAAGATGGGGTAAAAACTTGAATTTTTTTACCTACCTTTCCTGGTGAAAGAAATGTTTTGTTTAGTTCTCGGCTTTATTTATATTGCTGTGGGAGAGTAATTCAGTTTATGAAAACATTTGGTTTAGCCATTTCCATCTAAAAATTACTATGACTACCAAATGAAACTATTGCTGTAAAATTTGAGTGTGTATGTGTGTTGTGATTTACAGCAGGGTGATACTAACAAGAACAGGACAAAAGGAGGATGGCAACAGAAGAGTAAAGGACCCAAGAAAACTGCTAAATCAAAAAAAAAGAAACCTTTAAAAAAAAAACCTACACCTGTGCCCTTATCACAATTAAAGCAACAGAAACAAAAGCAGGCAAATGGAGTCATTGGGAGTGTAAGTTTATTATTGTTATTATCATTATTATCTGTATTGAGATAAAGCATACACTAAAATGTTCACATCTTATGTGTACAGCTCCTGGTTTTTACGTATGTATGTACCCATGATACCCAGATCAAGATATAAAACCTTACCAGCACCTTAGGAAGCTCTCTGTGCCCCTTCTCAGTCAGTGACCCTTCCGTCTACCTCGAAACCCTCTCCTCCATTCTGACTGCTATTACCATAAATTAGTTTTGCCTGTTCTTAAACTTCGTATATCTAGAATTATGTTTGACTGCTTTCATTCAACATTCTGTCTCTGACATTCGTCTTTATTGTGTGTGTGTGTGGTATTACATTGTATGAATATACCATAATATATCTGTCTGTTCTGTGGCTGGTGGAAATTTGGGTTGTTTCTGGTGTTTGCCTATTGTGAATAAAGGTGCTATGCTGGGGCCGGCCTGGTGGCGCAAGCGGTTAAGTACCCGCGCTCCACTGTGGCGGCCGGGGGTTCACCGGTTCGGATCCCGGGCGCGCACTGACTCAGCGCTTGGCAAGCCATGCTGTGGCGGCGTCCCATATAAGGTGGAAGAGGATGGGCACGGATGTTAGCCCAGGGCCAGTCTTCCTCAGCAAAAAAGAGGAGGATTGGCACTGGATGTTAGCTCAGGGTTGGTCTTCCCCACAAAAAAAAAAAAAAAAAAGTGCTATGCTTATTCTTGTACGTGTCATTTTGTGAACATTCATTTTTCTTTTTTCTTTTTTTTTTTTTTGCGAGGAAGATCAGACCTGAGCTAACATCTGATGCCAATCCTCCTCTTTTTGCCGAGGAAGATTGGCCCTGGGCTAACATCTGTGCCCATCTACCTCTACTTTGTATGGGACACCGCCACTGCATGGCTTGACAAGCGGTGTGTCAGTGTGCGCCCGGGATCTGAACCTGCAAACCCTCCGGCCGCTGAAGCGGAGCTCGAGCACTTGACTGCTGCACCGGGCTCCATTCATTCTTTTCATACTTAGCAGTGGAGTTGCTGGATCATAAAAAAGGTGTCAGTTTAATGCACTGAAAGACCCCATTTTCCAAAGTTAGTATTTTATGCTCCTAACAGCAAAATATGGGTCCAGTTGTTCCACATCCTCACCAATACTTGGTTTTACCAGTCTTTTTTATTTTAGCCACTGTGGTGGATCTAAGTGATATCTCTGTGGGTGGTTCTTATTTGTATTTATCTTATTTCTAATGATCCTGATACACTTACTGGCCACTTGGATATCCTTTTTTTCTACTGGGTTGTCTGTCTTCCTGTGGATTTGTGGGATTTATTTATATATTCTGGATGTGAGTCCTTGTTTACTTTCTTAATGATAGCTTTTGATGGTTCTTAACTGTAATGAAGTCTGTTTCATCAGTCTTATGGTTAGTGCTTTTGTGTCCTGTTTAGGACATCTCTGCCTATCCCAAGGATACAAGGGCATGGACATATTTTCTGTTTTCTTCTAGAAGTATTATTATTTTACTTGTTATATTTACCTCGATGATACATCTTGAATTTTTGTAAATAGCATGAGATAGAGATTGGGGACCACTTACTCTAGCACTGTTTATTGAAAAGATCATCCTTTCCTCTCTGAATTGCAGTGGTGATTTGTTGGAAAACAAGTGACTATAACTGTGTATGTGCAGATCTGTTTTAGGACTCTCTAGTCTATTCCACTGATTGTCTATTCTTGTGCCAGTACCACAGTCTTGATTATTGTGGCTTTACATTAAGTCTTAAAATATAGTAGTTTAAGTCCTCAGACTCTTGTTTTACTTCTTCAAAATTGTTTTGACTATTTTAGGTCCTTTTTATTTCCAGCTAAATTTTTAGAATAAGCTTGACAGTTTCCACCAAAAAAAACTGCTGGAATTTAGATTGGTGTTGTGTTGAATCTGTGGTTCCATATGGGGAAAATTCACTTGTTAACAATATTGCATCTTCTTATTCATAATCATGGATTATCTTTATTAATTTGGGTCTTCCTTAATTTTTCTCAGCACTGTTTTGTAATTTCCAGTGGCAGAAGTATGACACATCTTTCATTATATTTACGCCTATGTATTTGATGCTTTCTGGTGCTATTGCGAGTAACGTGATAAAAAAATGCATTCTTCAATGTTATTGCTGGTGTATAGAAATAAAGTTACTTTCTAAATGTTGACCTTGTTTCAAGAAGTCTTGATGAATTTACAGTAATTCTAACCATCTTTAGATTTTTTAAAAAAGATTTTCTGCATACATGATCGTATACCATTTGGGAATAAAGCTAGTTTTATTTTTTTCTTTTTAATCTTTATGCTCTTTCTTCCTTTCTGCCTTACTGTACTGGCTAGAACTTTCAGTGTAATTTTGATTAGAAATGAAGATGGTGGTCACCCTTGTCCTCTTGTTGATCTCAGGGAGAAAGCAAACGTCATTTCACTACTAAGGATGATGTTAGCTATAGAGTTTTTGTAGATGTTCTTTATCAGGTTAAGGAAATGTTTCTTTCTGTTCTCAGTTTTGAGAATTTTTTGTCATAAGCAGGTACTGAATTTAATTAAATGCTTTTTTTCCATCTATTGAGATGATTTTTCTTCTTTCCATTAATGTGGTGAATTGTATTGATACATTTAAAATTTTTAAACTGTCCTTGCATTCCTGGAACAAATCTCACTTGGTCATAACATAGTCTCCTTTTTTATATTTATCTGGATTTGATAATACTTTATTTAGGATTCCTGCGTCTGCTTTCATGACAGGATGTTGGCTTGTCATTCTCCTTTCTTGTTAATATCAGGTTTTGCATCAGGTTTGTGCTGGCCTCCTTAAACAAGTTAGGAAATATTCTCTCTTTTTCCTGTAAGAGTTTGTGTAAGATTGGATTTGTTTCTTTCTTGTTTGGAAGAATTATCTAGAGAAGCCATCTGGGCTTGGAGTTTTTAAAATGTGTTTGTTTAGAGTCCATTTCTTTAACATATTCTACTTTTTTCCCTATATCTATTTTAGTAAATTATGTTTTTCAAGGAATTTGTCCATTTCCTCTGAGTTAGTAAATTTATCGACAAAGTTATTTATAATATCCTTTATTTTTAATGTCTCTTGGATCTGTAGTTATGTCTCGTTTATTCCTATTATTGGTAATTTGTATTCTCTTTTTTTTCTTTGATTAGTCTTGCCTAATACAAGTTATCAGTTTTACTGATCTTTTCAAAGAACCAACTTTTGGTTTTGTTTGGGTTTTCCTTTTGTATAGTGCTTTCTCTTTGACTGATTTCTGGTCTGTATTATTTACTTCTACTCTCTTTGCATTTAATTTGCTGTTCTTTTTCTTGCTTCTTGAAATGGACTAGTAAGTATTTTGTCTGGGATATTGTCTTTCCTTACTGCATTATACTCTATCAGTTGTAGAAGATAATATTAAACTCCCAAAGCAGTGCTTTTCTATAAACTTCCCGTTTCCCCTCCTCAAATAAAATATGTTGTATAATTGATGTTTTTGAAAGATGAGCATCTTAGCCATTGTGGTAGTATACTTTGCAAATAAAAATGAAATATTTTTATTTTACAAACTATAAAGAATGAATAAAGTAACTCACAACAGACAGATAAGCCAAATGTTAAAGTCTTCAGTCTGATTCCCACATATTTATAAATAAGAATGTTTATAATTCTCTAAAATTCTGTATGAATAGTGAAATTGTAGTCTTGAGCACTTTAATTATAATGCCAATAAGTTAGCTTCAGGGACTCAGAATGATAGATTCACTGAGATATTCAGAACTTTTGTGGTTGCTTTTTCCTTTTAGGAAGCTGCAGTAAAGGAAGATGAAGAAGAAGTTTCTGACAAAGGCAGTGATTCTGAAGAAGAAGAAACCAACAGAGACTCCCAAAGTGAAAAAGATGATGGTAGTGACAGAGACTCTGATAGAGAGCAAGATGAAAAACAAAACAAAGATGATGAAGCAGTAAGATGCATAGGTTTAAATAATTGGAATTATACCCCTGATGATAGTTTCGGTTTTTATTGTTTTTTTCATTTACTTGTTTGCCTGTGTTAATACCAGTATATTTTATAATCTTACATTACTTTGTAAGAATATTTTTAGGGATGGTGGTCAGAATTATCAAGAAAAATTGTTTCCAACAAGGATTGGAAATCCTAATTTTCTTGAATTGTAAATTGCTAGGTGGAGTAGCACCTGCGTCTGAGGTGAAATCAGTTTGGTCTCAAGGCGATAGGAGTAAGGAAAGGTGGGTTATGAAATATGGGTGGCAGTTACCTGAAAGAGTCTCTCAAAAATTCCAGGTAATGTTTAGGGGAAAGAAATATTACTGTGGACTCTGAAGTCAAGAGTTTGGTTAAGGGAAAAGCTAACATTTACAGAATACCACCTTGCTTCAAGAGGTATATAAGACATTAAGGAAAGGGGGAGTCTCTAGGGAATTATTAAGATTGTGAGGGTATAGAGAATAGACATGGCATAAAATTGCACGTGATTTAAAGGAGGCTGTAGAAAACAATGTTTGGTGGACAAATAATGGCCTTAGAGGCTCACTGCACATGAACTGTAAACTGGTCACCTGTTTCCTAGATGTTTGTGTTCTTTTTGACTGAGCTGTTGATCTAAAAGTAACCCTGTGGTTTAGGAGAGAAAAAGAGGTTCCCTAAATAGCATCTGAGGCAAAAGTGAAGGCCAAAACGAGGAAGAGATAGAGGGCAAAGGATAAAAGTATGAGGAAATAATGTACCTGCCCTTGGGAGTGGTGGGAACAAAATAAGGATGACTGTTTTTAGTGGTTTCTAGCCCTTGACTGTTTTTGTACTTTAGGGATTAAATTGATTGCCAGGAAATTAAAACCTATCAAAGAAATTATTTCCCCAGCCTTGCTTTGCAAAAGAGTTGACATATTCCTTTCTGAGAATATTTAGGGTTAGTAGAGGTGACTCTTAGAGTTTTGACAGACTAGTTTATTCAGATAACCAAAAATTCATTCAAAGGACAAATAATTATACAAATAACAAATACTTATTCATTATCTGTCACATTGCAAGCAGTGTGTTAGATAACAGAAATGCGAAACCAAATGTGAAACACTTTCCACCCTTGAATGATATAGTAGGCTAGTAGGGAAGGCAGACTTGTAAATAACCGTTATAGTACAAAGAGATTATGCACATTTTGTAGAAGGTGCAGTGATAGCACGAAGGAGGGAGTGATCAACTCAGTCCTGAGGTAGGGGGAGTTGGTGGTACTCAGAAGCTCATACTTGAGCTGCTCCTGAAGAAGAATGAGTAGGAATTTGCTAGGTAGAGAAAGGGGAACACAAAAATCCAAACGGTTTAGAAGGAGTGAAATAGCTTGGTGAGTCCAGAGAAGTCTCGGTAGTTTCAAACAATTGGAATAAAAAGTGCAAGGAGACAGCAGTGACGGGAGACTGAAGAGAGAGGCCCAGGTCAGACTGCGAACAGCTGTGTAGTTCATGCTAAAGGACTTAGGTTTGATTTATGAAAAGAAGCAGTGTTTGTTTTGAACAGGGAAATGATCAGATTTGTGGGACTGAACTCAGTAGTAGTAAGCATTGTTAGGAATAATAGCCGGAAGAAGATGGAAACTCCTCAGAACGATCAAACATATACTTGATTTCCACTATTTAATTTTTACTTTACTAGGAGTGGCAAGAATTACAACAAAGTATACAGCGAAAGGAGAGAGCTCTCCTGGAAACCAAATCAAAGATAACACATCCTGTTTATAGTCTTTACTTTCCTGAGGTGAGTTATACACAGCCTAGTGTTTCCTTATTCCATTTACTTTCTCTTCAGATATTTCTCAGTTGCCTTTTATCCTTCTGTGGTGTGTACTGGCTCAGTTGTGCTAAATGTGGTCTCTTCTTGATGAGCCCACGTTTTCGAAGGATATATTTCAGTATAAATTACGTTTAGTGAATGGGTTGGTTAAAAAGGATTATTAACTTTCTATTTCTGTGGTTTCCTGTGCTTCTGTCTTTTCTGTGCCCCGATTACTGAGGGTTATGCTTAGTGATGATTTCTCATTAACAGTTCAGGCAGTCTTACTCAGACAGATGTGTATTTTGCCTGTGACTGTGTGGCAGTTGTGAATCTGTCACTTCTATGAAGTTTTTTTATTTTTTATTTTTGTGAAGAAGATCAGCCCTGAGCTAACATCCATGCTAATCCTCCTCTTTTTGCTGAGGCAGACCGGCTCTGAGCTAACATCTATTGCCAATCCTCCTCCTTTTTTTCTCCCCAAAGCCCCAGTAGATAGTTGTATGTCATAGCTGCACATCCTTCTAGTTGCTGTATGTGGGACGTGGCCTCAGCATGGCCAGAGAAGCGGTGCATCGGTGTGCGCCTGGGATCCGAACCTGGGCCGCCAGCAGCAGAGCGCGTGCACTTAACCGCTAAGCCACGGGGCTGGCCCTCAAGTTTTAAACAGGATGAAAAAGTTCTTAAATTTTCCCCATGGATTTTCTCTGAGAGTCCTATACTGGGCACCTGGAGCCGCTAGACTTGCTCTGGCCCCTGTAAATCCCCCAGTCCGTTGGAATAGGCAAGCCCATGACTGTGGGACCAGCTAAGTTCAGTAAGAGCTGAGTGTAGCTGAGCCCCATACTCAGGACAGGTCATTGCAGTGCTGTTTGTTCCCTTGTCTTTATTTACTTTGTGGTTGTGGCCTGCTCAGCTTTTGATCTTGATAGGCTGTGTTGTTGGTCTTTCAAATGAATTTGGGATTTGCTTGACATTTTGCTTTTGTGGATGATTCTGTCTGCGGCAAGAGGTCAAGAACTGGTTGCCTGTTAGTTCAGGGAAGCTGTTTGACACACTGCCTCACAGCTTTGCCGCAGAACCTTCTGTTCACCACTCATGTTTGGCAGGTAATTTCATGTATAAATCTGCTTTCTGGTCTAGAGTGTCAATCCTGAGTTGCTGGGGGCCTCTGAAGGCAAATTCCTAAGTAATTTGGCTCTCCTAATAATAAATGAGTGACTCTGCACAGGCTGTTGTTTTGACTTTGGAGAGAAGTCAGTCCAGGATTCCATCTTAATGCGCGCACTGGTCTTCTGGCGTGTCCTGAGCTTTAGCCCATCTGTTAGGGGCATTTTGCCCATTGCAGTGGTACTCTGCCAGCACCAAGGCTCCTGAAATCAAGCGAATAAATTTCACTCATTGATTGGTTTTAAAAGTGCCATGGGATGCTCTAAGCTGCATAATTTGTGCCCTTGTAACATACAGTTTCATTTTAGACCATGCTTAGTTAGTAGGCAAAAACATTCATTCACTCCCTTAGAACATTTTAGCAGTGAAAATGCCTTTTTCTAATTTAATCTGCATCTGCATGGTAAACATCTCAAAGTACTATTTATTAGATAAAATTTATTTAGGATTTTCCTGATACCTACCTATCTACCTTCCCATGTACCTATCTAACTACCCTAACTACACACTACCCACTTAAATTATTTCAAGTTTTATGTTAATAATTGAGTTAATGTGTTACTGAAACTCATTTATTATATTTAATGTTAAGAATGGTTGGGAATCTCACACAACAGGATAATTTTTTTAAGTACTAATAACTCATGGTACAACATCTTTTCCACTTTTACCGTGTGCATCAGAGAGTCTAGGCACAGGAGTAATGCCGTAGATTGATATTCACTAGCTTCTTAATAAATATTCTTGATTTTAAATAGCCTGGGAGAAGCGAGGGAAAGGGATTCTCCAAGTGGAAAGGTAAAGAAGAAATGCATATTCTTGAACATATCCCTATGTTTCTTATATTACATACATGTATATTACATACTATAAAATGTCAGAAACACTTAAACAATAGAGGTGTTCACCTCATTTCATTAATAATCATAACTGTCATTTATGGCACTCTATGTGCATGGCATTCTAACATATATTTTACGTGTGTAATAACCTCAGTTCGTCTTCACAACACGACCTGAGATAGGCACTCATCATTTGACAGAGAAGAAAAGTGAGGTTTAGAGAAGTGAAATAATCCAGGTCTGTGTGGCTTTAAAACAGGCATCAGCAAACTACAGTCTGCAGACAAATCTGCCTCCCTGCACGTTCTTGTGAATGAAGTTTTATTGGAAGGCAGCCACACTCACTCTTTCTGTGCTACAATGGCAGAGTTGAGTAGTTGCAACAGAGACTCTATGGCCCACAAAGCCTAGGTGTTAATACTCCACTTTGAGTCTGTTATGTTTTTACCCTCTTTGTGTGTGCAAAACACACATAGACAAGCATAAACAAACACATATACCTATTGTGGTAGTCCTAACCCTTGGGTTAAGCAGAAGTTGGGTTAATCATGTGCTGGTGATTTATTTATTCTGCTTATTAATGTTGCAGTGCTTTGTAGTTTAAGGCATTTAAACAAAAGAACTTAATTTTAATTGAACTTAGTATAGCATTATTAGAAAGATAAATCAAATTTTAATGTCTTATGGTCAAAATAAAATAGTGCAAGTGATTTTGGCTTAAAAACACATTTTCCCTATGAAACTGGTTTCAGTAAAAAGTTATTTTTTTAACCTTCTTTTGGATAATTAGGAATTTAGAATAGTGTAGTGTTGTTTTGGTTAAGTGAGTGTTTAGAATATCCTAGAGTTTATTTTTAGCTCCAGAAGATTTTTCTTGAAGCCATTTTAGGAAGATATCTTCCCTACCCAATTCATTTTTTTTCTTGCTGAGGAAGATTCGCCCTGAGCTAACATCTGCTGCCAATCTTCCTCTTTTTATATGTGAGCTGCCGCCACAGCATGGCCGCTGATAGATGAGTGGTGTGGGTCCGCGCCCGGGAGCCAAATCTGTGCCACCGAAGCAGAACCCCCCGAACTTAACCACTAGGCCACTGGGCTGGCCCCCTACCCGGTTCTTAAGCAGTGGATCCTAAGCAGATGACTAAACAATTCCTGATGTATTCTGTAATATTTACAGCAATGGCCAGTGAGCACACTGACGTTTGGTGCTTCCAGACTGCTTGGTCTTGTGATTTTTTTTTTAAATAGTTTTCTGTCTCCTGTTAGTTCTCCCTGCTGTCATTGTACATTCTGGGGGCAGTTTCTTTACCTGGCTCTTTTTCTGTTCCTGATCTTTTATGAAGTGTAATTAAAAATGCTGAGCTTATTAAAATCATGTGCAGTGAAAGATATAAATAGGCTCCTAGAATCCGAGATACTCGCTTATTATAAGTAGTGTGTTTTAATGTATTGCTTTCTGTTTTTGGTTTCTCAAGTCACTTTCACTCCTACTTTCTGGCTTCTGCTTATTAGTAGGAAAAATTGCTAAGATTTGCTAGATGATATTGTAATAGTTTATACTGTTTTCTTTTTTGGAATATCTTTTGTCATTTAAGGTAATCAGAGGTTTTTAATACCGAGGCCCATCAGTAGGGTTTAAGGGGCCATTTGAAACCCTAAAATTACATACAAAATTCTTTTGGAGAGAGGATCTACAAATGGTTAAGAACAGTTTATTCATTCAGTAAATATTTGTTGAACATCTATCTTGTTCCAGGCACTGTGTCTGTGCTGGGGATACAGCAATGAATAAAATAAGGACAATACCACTAAAATGAGACAAGGCAAAACTATGTATATTTCTCTAGTTATTTCTGATTATTTATACTCTTCTTTTTTTTCTTTGCAGGAAAAACAAGAATGGTGGTGGCTTTATATTGCAGATAGGAAGGAACAGACGTTAATATCTATGCCATATCATGTGTGTACACTAAAAGATACAGAAGAGGTAATTATCCAACCACGTTATTTGAGTTTTTACAAATGTACAGCCTCTTGTCATTATACTGCTTCATAAAATCTTTTTTTGAAATCAATTTATCATGTTTGGCTTATTGCATTTTATTTAAGACATTTTATAACTTTCTTTGATGTCTTTTGTGGAGAACTCATTGAAAATTTATGAAGTATTGACTTGTTAAAGGCAGACAGCAGGGTCAGTCCTTTAAAAACTTATTCTCAACTTATTTTGGGGAGATTTCACTGTTAGTGTCTAAGAACATATGCTTTCTCTTCTCCAGAATTTAATTATATTTTACAAAAATCTGTGGTGTTTATCCTCACTGGATAGTGCTAAGATATATACCTTTTGTCTTAAAAACAAGTGTAAGAACTAGTGATTAGATTTCTAGAATGGAATTTTTGATTACGTGGCGTTGTCCCCTCTTAATGACGTCACTAATATAGCATTGTGATGAACATATTTTACGCTTGAGAACTCCTTTCTGTTTTCTTCTTAATTTTTTGTTACTTTTTTAGGAGGAAGGTTCTGTCTGCCTGGGCTTGGTGGCCAAGAGCAAGGCTTTTGAATTTTAAGATAGTTCCATGATGTTGATTTTTAATCCAAAAAGCTTTTATTCCCCCATGTAACCAAGTAGTAGATGTATGAAGTAGTTTATTATTGTTGATTTGACACTTAGAGACAACTTAAGGGTATTTCTTTGACAGAGTGATTTTATTATTATTTTTTAATTTAGATTTTGCCTATTTTTGAATGGATAATACATTCACCTAGTTAATATTTCAGAAGATATACAAAAGTACACACATTGAAACATCTTGCCTCTCTGTCTTGCAGTCACCCCTTCCCCTTTATCAAATTTTTATGTATTCTTCATGTGATGTTTTGTGTAAATTACAAGCAAATACCTACGTATATTTTCCCCAGTTTTATGCAAAAAGTAGCATACACCATGTTTGGCACCTTGCTTTTTTTTTCTCAGTGATATAACTTGGAATTTGTTCCATGTTAGTACAGAAAATCTTCCTCATTCATTTTTACAGCTGCGTGATATTCTTCTGTGTGGATGTTTATTTAACACTCTGCTATTTAAATGGACTTATAAGTTGTTTCTTGTCTTTTGCTGCAGTGAATAACCTCATATGTGATTTTGCACATGTGCAAATATCTATAGGATAAATTCATAGAGGTAAAATTAATGAATCAGAGGCTCTGTACATTTGTAGTTTTGATAGATATTTATTTCTCCATAGGCAGAATGAATGTTTAAGTATGCCTGTTGCCTCTCAGTATGTCAGACATTTTGAATGTCATTGCTAATCAGAAAGGTGAAAAATGACATCTCAGTGTTATTTTTTTTCCTCTGATCTTTTATTTTGAAAAGTTCCAAACTTATAAAAATGTTGCAGGCACAGTATCATGAACCCCTGTAGACCCTTCATCTACAGTGATCAATTGTTAACATTTTGCCATATGTTTTATGTTTCTCTGTATGTGTACACACAAAATACATACACACACACACATATGTGTATTCCTCCCGATCCACTTTACGTACTTGTAGACATCGTGACATTAGACTCCTAAATACTTGAACATATATCTCCTAAGAACAAAGGCCTTCTCCTACATAAGCTCAATATAATTATTATATTCAGGAAATTTAACATTGATATGGTATTATTATCTAATATGCAGTCCATATTCAGATTTCCCCCAGTATGCCACTAATGTCTGTTACAGTTTTTATTTTGTTTTGTTTTTAAATTCAGGATGCAATCAAGGATCATGCATTGCATTTGGTTATCATTCCTCTTTATTCTAGAACACTTCCTTGGCCTTTCTTTTTTAAAATTTTTCATACCATTGACATTTTTGAAGAGTCTAGGCAAGTTATTTTATAGAATGTCCCTTAATTTGAACTTGACTCTTGGTTACTCATGATTATATTTATTTTAAATATTTTTGGCAAAAATACTGCATAGGTGATGTAACCTCTGGTGCATCACATCAGGTGCACATTATATCAGTGTGCCTCACATTGGTGTTGTTATGGTTGATTATCTAGTTAAGGCTTTTCTCTATTGGAAAAGGTACTTTTTCCTCTAATCTGTGGGGTGATAACTTGGGTACTCTGTGAATATCCTGTTCTCAAAGAACAGGTTTCTTTTACCCCCTCATATTAGCATACATTGATGATCCTTGCCTGAATCAATTTTTACTATGCTAGTTGTATTCAGTGTATTTTTAATTTTGTATTTCTCTTAAGGGTGAAACTGAACATCTTTCAGTGTGTTTGAATCATTTCTCTTTTTGTGACTATTTGTGACCGTTGTTCAGTTTTGTTGGGTTAGTGGTCTTTTAAATTGGTTTTGGGAATTTTTCTTTTTTTTAATACTATGAAATCAGCCCTTTGTGATATGTGTTGCAAATATTTCTCCCTGGTTTGTTTTACTATTATGGTTGTTTTTACCAAGCAAAATATAAATAAATTTATTTATTTGGAGTTTTTTTGTAGTGTGATTTGGTAATTTTTTCTTTTATGATTTCCGGTTTTGTGTTATAGTTAGAAAGGCCAAACTGTGAGCTTAATTAAAAAAAAAAGATTCTCCCATGATTTTTTCTAGTTTGCTTGTTTTAATGGCATATTTTAGTATATAATCTTGCCTACAAAATCTGGATTTTGGAGATTGGAGGCAGATCACCAGAACATCCAAATGTCATCTTAAAAATTTATTCTTTCTTTGTCCAAATGGTATTGAAATTTATAAGAGTTTGTAACTCTTTGTATTTGAAGTTTATGATTTGATAGGAAATAAAATATCTTTTTGACCTGATAGGGCACTGGACATTTGTAAAGGAAATACTTCTGTGTGTTTCTCCTTTACCCTCATACTACTACCATTCTCACAGCACTTCTGGCACCAGATGTGTGGGTTTTTCCCCACATGAAGCAATTCTCTGTGACACCAGCTGAGTGGCCTACAGATTAAAAACTCAGTGCTGACACTATCTACCTGGAGATAGCATCACATCCCACAGGTTAGGGGCTCAGTCCCACAAGATTGCCACCCTCTGCTCCTCCCACTTCAGATGCCAATTGCATGTCCCAGGTTGTCACCTGTACTTCTGACCACCTGGCTATAAATGGGGGTTCCCATGACCCCTTTCTTGGGTTTGACAGTTTGCTAGAATGGCTCACAGAACTCAGGGAAACACGTTTACTGGTTTATTGTAAAAGCATATGATACAAGGTGTAGATGAACATCCAGATGGAATAGAGGCATAGGGCATGTGGCAAGGGGCATGCTCTTTCTGAGCATTCCACTCTCCCAGCATTGCCATGTGTTCACCAACTCAGAAGCTCCCTGAATCCTTATTTGGAGATTTTTATGGAGGCTTCATCATGTAGGCATGATTGATCATTCACTCAATTTTTAGCCCCTCTCAGGAGAATGAAGGGTAGGGCTGAAAGTCCCAGCTTGTAGTCGTGGCTTGGTCTTTCTGGTGACCAGCCCTCATCTAGGAGAGCCCACTAAGGGTCACCTCTTTAGAAGAAAACATATTTGTGTTACCCAGAAACTTCCGATGGATTTATGAGCTCAATGTCAGGAACCGGGGTCAAAGACCAAATATTAGAACAGAACATGCTCCTTGTGCTCTTATCGCTCAGAAAATTACAGGGGTTTGAGGAGCTGTGTGCCAGGAACTGGGGCCAGAGACCAGTATATATATTTTCTATTCTCTCACAGCATTTATCTGAAAAACAAGAAAATTTGACAAGAATTATCTCCTGTCTGGTGAAATCTCTTTTATTAATTCCAATATTTCATTTGTTTTACTTTTATACCCTACTTCATTTTTTCAAGTTGTCAAGGTGATGGTCAACACAGAACTTGATTGCTTTAAGTGTGCTTTCTTGAATTGTGGAGATACAAATTAACCCCATCAATTCTGCCTAATTTGGTTTCTTTTTTGTATAGTATAGATAATATATGACATAAACCTCATATATATATTTGGTATTATTGTTAGAACTTTTGTAACATTTGTTAGGACTTCCTATGTCATCTACGTAAATACCTAGCTATTAAATAGTCTGGGTCTAGGAATTTTAGGAGTGAGCTGTTGTTTCTTCCACTCCTCAAAATACAGATTTTAAGTGCTGATTTTATCTTCTAGGTAGAACTAAAGTTTCCTGCACCAGGCAAGCCTGGAAATTATCAATATACAGTGTTTCTGAGATCAGACTCATATATGGGTTTGGATCAGATTAAACCGTTGAAGGTAAGAATAGTAACTCTTCAATAAATATAGTTGTCTGTTTGAGTAAGTACTTAATATACTAGGGAAGCATTTCTAGTTTTGAAATGTAGAGTAACAGAGGGAAAAAGAGGTCATCTCATACTTTATATATGATACACTTGATGGACTACTCTTTCAATAATAAACTTAAGTTGTTGAGTTAAAGGAGTATAACGAATTAGGTCCCTGAATATAAAGTGATATGTTTTAATGTGCTATAATATGCTATAACTTTACAGGGCCTCACGAATGGGTTCTGTTTTCTTTAGAAAAGCAGATGTGTTTTCCCACAGATTCTGTTGGAGTGTTTATTAATTTCTGAAACTTTTTTTTTTTTTTATCATTTTAGAGTATACTTTGTATAAGTATCATTTGAAGCACACGCCCATCAGTGTTTACCATTTCACTTGAGGTTTTTATAAAAGGCATTCTATTATGTTAGTGAGATGGTGCTGAAGTATTGTTGCACTGTGTATTAGAGTCCCAAAGTAAAGGGAGCCAGTAGGATGCACCTCTTTTTTTCCCAGGAGGGTACCATTTTTCTTTCCATTGGCTATAGAATTTTACTTTATGAGTCTGGAGGCTGCAAAATACTTCTTTGCAAGTCACACTTGAGTTTTTCTTCCATCAGCAGAAGACTTATTAAGACATTACTTAGTGTTCTTGCTCAAGAATCACAATTATCTTGCATGCCACAGATTAAATAGTATAACTTATATAAAAACAAAATATCAAACTGTATTAGAAATTTAACTACATTTACATGTTAGTAGATTTACCTTTTTATTTCTGTTATGAATGTCTATTCCAAATGAATGTGTTAAATTTAGAGTTACAACCAAAATCTATTTATAATTGTTGTTGTCAAAGAAAACCTTTTCTTTATCAGATATTTCTTCCATTATTTCTCCCCAAATTTCTGATGTCTACATTTAATTCTTCTTTATAGTTGGAGGTTCATGAGGCTAAGCCTGTGCCAGAAAATCACCCACAGTGGGATACAGCCATAGAGGGAGATGAAGACCAGGAGGACAGTGAGGGCTTTGAAGATAGCTTTGAGGAAGAGGAAGAAGAAGAGGAAGATGATGACTAAGCAATACTACGAATGGACCACAATATTTGCAAATTTTTGCTGTTTAGGAAGTGTATAATAAACCAGAAACAGTGCAGAATTGATGTTGATGGGAGGTGTTAGTTTTTTACTAGAAGTGGGTGCATAATATAACTAGGCAGTGGTCGTGCCTTGGTACAGCCTGAAAAATGCTTAAGGCTTCTTCAAGCCTTTCAAGTATGGGATGGTGCATTTATTTCATCTGCAAATGATAATAAACCCTTTGTTACAACTGTCCAGAAGTGTGGGCTATGTATTATCTGATCAGTTTATGGTCCCAGGAAAAGTAAAGGTACATGAAAAACAACCTATAAATGAGCAACTTTTCTTCATTTAGCTTTAGATTTAGCAAACATTAAAGTATGATGAATACCACAAATATGTTTTAAGTAACATCTGCTCAAGTTTTAATCTGTTGATAAGATCTATCATTCGTTTATTGACATTTTGCAGTGATACGAGACTATTTATAAATAACAGCTCCATTCATAGCTTTAAACCTTTTATTTTTACCTATCTTGGTCATAAGTTGGCATTCTTTCACATTCCACATAATATAGAGGGCTACATTTTGGAATTTTCCTTTTCTTAATTGCCCAGAGTTATCAGACAGATTATAAAAATGGCTTTTAATGGCTTAAAACATTTTTAAGCCTCTATTTTAGCAGATCAATGCAGGATCTAATTCTTTTTATAAGCTATGGGTCTAAAAATGATTGTGGGACCATATGTTCTCTAACGTTGGTGACTTATGTTATTAAACCTTTTTTAAAAGGTTCACTATAAAAGCTGAAATACATTCTTAGCTTTTAATCTACCTGACTCTATCAGAAGCCTTTTAAGGAAAAAATATATAACATGCAAAGGAGGCATTTTTTTGTATTCATTTTGGACTCCTGTCAATAAAATAGAAGTTTGACTCATTTTATTTTTGTGATGGTGTGTGTCTTTTTACTCCCAGAGAAAGGATGTAATAGGATAATTCATTCTTTTATTTTTCAACCAGAAATTTAATAATAATATACATTACTGTGAAGTGACTGGTATTTCTGTATACTATAGAAAAACCCATGAGTGGGAGGAATTTCTCCCTCACGTAGTGCAACCCGGAAAGATAGTGCTTACAAGGCATAGAAATGTATACATGATGAATCATTGAGGTAAGATGATTATTTTTATTACTAGGTATGGAGGAAGCATAAGTCTGTAATATTACAGGACTGATTGTAATAATCCTCTCCTACCAAAATCTTCATAGGCCAAGGGTACTGTTGGAATACTAACTTGTGACCTCATTTACGTAAAACGTTACCACTTTCCATGCAGAATTACCACTGGTATTTTATTACTGCAGTAGTTGGAAATAAAATTTGAAAATTACCAAAAATGTGAATGGCTTTTTTTGGTTCTAAATTTAGGATGTAATATTTCCTATAATATGGTCAAAGCAGTTTTTTCATTGGGACTTCCATCACCTGTTTTTATTTTGTGAAGTTGTTAGCAAGACCCTTCCTTAGCCAGCAGGAGTGCCACTGATTTGTTTCATTTTACAAATAGACGGTGGGTTTAATTTTCGAGTCAGGTTTTGGTGGGAAGCTCCAGTGTCAGGTAAGGCAGCTGCTGGTCACCTAAGTATAGTGGAAGGGAGGGAGCCAGCCTCCAGCATCAAGTGAGAGCAGAGGTCAGAGAAAATGTGTGTGGCACGAAGGCAAGGAAAGTGAGCAAATGAAACTGTGCAGTATGCACGTGTCTTGGCTTTCTTGAAGGATACTTTTTAAGAAAATGTATTTCTATCCTAGTGGCTATTTTGTCTTACGGAGGCTTTATAAGTTCATTGAGACAACTGGCTTCTTTCTGCTTATAAGACTTTGGAGAGGATGATTTCACAACCCAATAACTCACCACAGTGCTTAAAAAAAAAACAGCATCATCTCGATGTTAGAAAACCCTACCAGTCTGTTCCCTTCTGCCCTTTGTGTGACATCCATGTACTTCCCAACCAAATCAACATTTTGCTCTAATGAGTCCTTAGGTAAACTCGTGCCATATTGCAGTGAAAGAACTGAGCCTTCAGTTTATGGTTCTCATCTCTCCTGCAAGTCTCTGACGTCTGCATCCCTCCTTTCTTTCTCTTGATGGAGATTTAATAACTATTGTAACCTGGTTTGCACTTAATCTAATGGAAACTTAGTGTATTTTCAGTTTTGTTCCCATCAAGAAACATGACATTTTTGTCAACAGAATAGATGAACACATAGAGGCCCTGCTGTGTTTTCCACGTGCATATTTCAGTCTCAAAGTCAGATGTTCATGTCCCTTTCAAAAAGTTTTAAAATTTTCATGCATATTTTTTAAAAATTAAGGATCACATTGAATAAGTTTCTCTGTAAGGAACCATGCTCTGTTCTGTTTCTCCCGGCTTGCGCTGAGGGGTGGAGAAGGCCGAGCCTGTCTGGCTGTACTGTTCCATTGGCTGGGGGGAAGGAAGGCCCTGGGTGGAAGCAGTGGGGGTAAGCCAGAGGATGTGGAAAAGGGGAGGGAGGGTGTTGGAGGAATGTAATGAGGCGCTCTGAGCATATTTTTGACCACAACGTTTATCCAGTCATTCGCATCAGTCAATCAAAACCAGATACTGGAGTGTTCTTTAGCAACAATTCATATTTCAAATATTATTTGGCACTTCACGTATTTTTTGAGGGGTTGTTTATCATTCATCACATATTTACTGAGTTTCTCTGTGCATGAGTCTGTGATTGGATACTGGGCCTATAAAAATCAAAGAATCTATGTTCTTAAAGACTCATTGGTATTAGGGCAGGCAGATGTGTGGCAATCTATTTTAATCCATTTGCAGTGGCTACTGGCCATTGTTTGGAATGCCTTTTTTTTTTAAGTCAGCTGTAGGCAGAAGAACTTTTTTTAGGTGCTAGCTATTTGTTGGTTTTTTTAAAAAATGGGCAAATTCTCATACTTTAAGTGTTTCTTTAAAGCATTTTTCTCCCCAAATAGCCTTACTCCATGAAATCCCCTATTTAGTCTGCCTTAAGGTGAAACAGCTGTCAGTGAACCATGATGTGACCTTTTACCAGTTGTGTAGTGATTAGTCCAAATACGTCTTAAGAAGTTAGCATCAAGCATCTTCACACCTTTAAACTTGATGCTGGGGCTGTTTTGCAAAACTTAAAAAAGCTGTGATCTTGTACGTTTTTCTGTAACCTGAACTAAAAATCCAAACACAGCAATCATTGGCATGCTTTAGGGCCGTGGTTTCAGGTGGGGGTGTGTACATCCCAGGGGTATGCAGATGATCAATTCATTGGGAAAATGTTAAAATGGTTATTTGTATTTAATCTCATCCTTTTAAATTTCTATTTTTGTGTGTTTTATAATGTACATAATGTACAATTGTACACGTCTATAATTTATAAATAAATAATACATTTATTGGTGCATTATATATTTTTTCCTGCTTTCAATGCATGATCAAAACATTTGGATACGCTGCTTTGAGGTATTGATAGGGTGAAATTTCAGCTAAAATGAGAGTTTGGACCCTTGGTACTCACCATCTGAGTTCTCAAGGTGATGTTACTCTGCTGGAGTGGAAAGGTTGGCATTCACTGTGCCAACCCTGCTGTAGCCCCCAGGAGCAAAGTGATGCTTTTTGAGATGGAATTGAGTAGGGTTTGTTGATGGGGTTAGTTGAGGGGAGGGTTCTAAGCAGCTGTTATCCATGGAATGGAAGTGGGGCAGGTAAGGGCAGAAGTGCTAGGGGCGACTTACTGGGACCTCCAGCAAAGGCTACGGCTCTGTTAGTGGTCCCTGCAATCAGTGGCTGCTACATATTAAAGGTGAGTGTGGGAAGGACTGTCCACTCTCTTTTCAGCACTAGATGGTTCAGCTCTAAGGTGTCAGGCTGGATAGGCAAGGGGAGCTGTGTTCCTCTTCTGAGCACCTGAGGTTTACACTTTAAAATCTGGATAACGGCAGCAGTGCACATAGGTGTGAGCAGATTCCATGAAGAGCAATTTCGAACTATTTCCCTGTGATTTCCAAGCCTTGTTTCAGTAAAGGGTGATAGGGCTGTGATTTTCTTTTTTTTTTTTAAAGATTTTTTTTTTATTTATTTTATTTTTTCCCCCCAAAGCCCCAGTGGATAGTTGTGTGTCGTAGCTGCACATCCTTCTAGTTGCTGCATGTGGGACTCGGCCTCAGGATGAACGGAGAAGTGGTGCCTCGATGCGCACCCGGGATCCGAACCCGGGCCGCCAGCATCGCAGCACGCGCACTTAACCACCAAGCCACAGGGTCGGCCCGGGCTGTGATTTTCTTTAGCAAAGAATGGTTTAGTTTATGGGACTAAAAACCAAAATTAAAGATATTCTTTGTAATTTATTTCTACCTCCACCTTCTAGGTCTACCTCCTTCCCCTTTAATCTTTTTTACTCCTATCTAACCTTTGTCTTTCTTACATGTATCCTTTAATGCATTAAATTTACTTCTCGATTTTCTGGCTGAAAACATTAAGTTCCCCTTTGTAACAAATTCCAGAAGACAATCCATATTTATTCATTGTGCTAGAATTGTATTAGTTTAAGAGAGGTGGGAAGTCGGGCAGGACAAAGAAATCCTTTTATTCTACAAAATTTTAATTTTTTTGGATGGTTGGTGTCAAGAGCTGTGAAGGGTCTGAGATTTTTACTGTATCTGCAAGCTAACAGATTAACCTGCCCCACTGTCACAGACGCTGGCAGAAGACAGGAGACTCCCGGGTCAGAGGCACCACAGGCCACACGAGCTTCATGTTCCCGTCTGCTCCTCTTGTCCCCCAGGTTCCCTGGGGTGATGCTGAGTAGCCCAGGTGGATGCTGCGCATGCAGTAGGTGTGTCACAGCTGAGGAATTTCGAGCTCAGGAGACTTAATCTTTTAAAGGATGTGCAAGCAGGACTGTCTAAGCGGGAGATACTCTCTTCCAAGGCTGTTCCCCACAGAAACATAAAAAGATAGTCTGGAACAAAAGCTGTGTGTCTCTGCTCACAAGATGTGCAGAAACATGAGATACCCATGGAAAATTCTCTCTCAAAAGCTGGAATTCAAAATATAGAGTACCTCTATTTACAAAGAGGTATAGAGTACTTATTTTCAAAGGAGTTGAATTCTATTTAGTGAAAATTAGGATCAGCAAGGTCATCTTCCTTGAGAATAATGTACACTTAAACCTCTTGCAGATGTTTTATCTTATTGTCAAAGATAGTTTTACGTTACAACTGAAGAGAGTTCACTTACCTCTAAAAAATAAACCAGAATTTTTAGTTGAATCCAGTTCAGCGTAACAATGGAAAAGGAGTGTCTAGAAAATGAGCACTATATCTATTGTATATTGTAACCATAAAAGATTTTGATTATTGTCCTCTGCAGCCCTCCCCAAAACCTCAACCCAAAACCTGTCTCTGCCCCCCCAACCAACAAAAACAAAAACAAAAACAAAAACAAAAAAACCCCACATCTTCCCCACAATGTTTGCTTCCAAGTGAGTCTGAGTCCTTGTGGAATAGCTACCATTTCCTCAGTGGTATCCTTCTTCCTAAGATGCTGCCCAAGCCCGGGGAGTCTTTGGACCTTCTTTGGTTGTAATCATGGAGAAACCTCTGCAATATTCTTCTGAACAGTCATGCTGGCACCTGATCAACCTTTGAGGGAAGGTTTATTTTTGTTTTTGACTGTGAAGGTCATTTAGAGATGATGCAGAGGAATAGGGAAGGTAATCAAATTTGTGATAGATGCTTTGATCGAAAATTAGGCATGTGACTAAAATTCAATGAGAGACATTTAAAAAACCATAATCTTTAAACTGCACTGGAGGATTCCCAAGGAGACATCTGATAATGTTACTGGGTAACCATAGCCTCCCTCATTTATACGCATTA